AGTCTACATAGGGCGGGTGCAGGAGAGACGGGGCGCAGCTTCCAGGTCCCGGCACTGATGTGACAACATGCACAGGCGCTGCCACCAGGAAAGCATCCCTGGCCGCGGTGTGCAGGGACTTTCCCGGGAGTGGGTCCTGCAGGCCTGGGGCGCCCACGTGGCTGACCTCGGTCTCAGTCTCCGGCCCCTGGAGGTCAAAGTCGTATGTTGGGCCCAACCCCCCCCCCCCCAAAAAGCACTGTCAGTATAGACTACCTGCAGAGCGCTCACCCAGGCAAACCAAGGCCGCCTCCTCAGGCAGCGCTGCCAGGTACCTAGAGGTCAGGTACCTAGAGGTCAGGTACCTAGAGGTCCCTCCCAGGCGCTGAGGGCCAGAACTTCCCTGGGAACATGCAGGGTCAGCCCTGAGCTGCACCCCACCCTTGATTTGGGCCCCTGGGGACTCGTCTTACAATTTTATCACCTCTCCGGCACAGTCAAGGGGATGCCTGGTCCACCCTATGGAGAAGGGGCCAGCCTAGGTTGGGGTGGGGTCCAGGTGACCCTGCCTGCTTATTTCTGGAAATGGACTCCCACCCCTTTCTCTCTTAAGATCCCCAGAGACCGACCTAAGAGGGCCCAGGCAGGGATGGTGGGGAGGCAGGAGCCCGTGCTCTGGGCCCAGCTCTATGACCAACTGCCTATGTAACCTGGGACAAGCCCCCTCTCCTGTCTGAGCCAGGTGATCACTCAGGCCTTTTCCATCTGGAATGTTCTCTGCTTTGTGATCAACCTGGGTAGGTGGGGACTGAACTGGCTTTGCAGAGAGCCGCCGTCACCTCCAATAGCAAGTCCTCGTGCCGTCCCCCCATGCAACGGGAGTCGACACTTAGCGGCAGGAGCCTCGGTTAACACAGAGGGAGTCTAATCGGAACCTGTTTTCCTTCTCCTTTCTAGGTGTTTAGTGACGACCTTACCAAGCCAATCATTGATAACATTGTGTCTGATCTCATTCAGATTTATACCATGGACACAGAGATCCCCTAAGGCCCTGGTCCAGGCCTGTCCAAAGAGAAGCCTGGGACGCTCGGCTGCCAGGGGACGGCGCCACCACATCGCCGTGACGGCCGGTCCCCAGAGGACTGGCTGGGAGGACTGGTTTTGTGCTGCTGGGGACGGGCCGGTGAAGGCGATGACATGCTGCCACTTTGATTCTCAGGCTCTGACTGTCCCCGGCAGCCATGGTCCAGATGGTGACGGGAGCTGCACCTCCCGCGGGCAGGAGCGTGCTGTGGGTGGCTCTGAGGCGTCTGGGTCTGCTTTTGTCCTTTGAAAGGACGGAGACTACAGTCGAGGTTTGGGATCAGTGGAAGGAAAATCAAAGAACGGATGGGACTGTACCCCAGGGGATTTTTTTAAAGGCCAGATTTATAGAAAGTATGAATGAATTAACATAGAGGAAATTTTATTTTGTTTAATAAAAGATATTACAAAGCCACAGAGTTTCTTTGCTTTGGAGCCAGTGCTGCGGAGGGCATTTAGGGGTGCTGGCCTGGCTTGGTTTCCCCTCAAATGCTCTGCTGTCCACGTGGGATTGTCCCCGGTGCTCCTGAGATGGTCCTGGGGCAGGCTCTGCATCGCCTCCTGAGGGCATGATGGCACAGCGCATGCCCATGTCATGCCGATGTCTTAAAGGAGCCTATGTGTCATCACTCCTCCTCCACTGGGACATTCACAGGGCTTGGGCTTGGCAATCATCCTGCTTGCTGCAGTGAGCATACATTTTGGAAAGGGGGCTTAGGGATTATCATTTGGGTTAAAAAACAAAACAAAACACGCCAGATCTGACTAAACTATAAGTAGGAAGTGATACACTTTTTTCTAAGCATTAATAAACTTTTTAATCACCTGAGGATATGATTTTTTAAAATATATTTTTATTGATTTCAGAGAGGAAGGGAGAGGGAGAGAGATAGAAACATCAATGATGAGAGTCATTGCATGCCTCCTGCACGCCCCCTACTGGGGATGGAGTCTGCAACCCTGGCATGTGTCCTGACCGGAAATCGAACTGTGACCTCCTGGTTCATAGGTCGATGTTCAATCACTGAGCCACGCCGGGCAAACTTTATTATTTCTTAGAGCAGTTTTAGGTTTATAGAAAAAATGATCAGGAATTACAGAGATTTCCCACATACCTTTGTTTACCCGCCCTCCCAAACACACACACACACTATTTCCCCTCTTATGTAATTTACATCTTGCACTGGTGTGGTACATTTGTTACAATTGATGAGCCAACATTGATACAGTATTATTAAAGCCCATGGTTTACATTAGGGTTCATTCTTTGGGTTGTAGATTCTATGGATTCTGACAAATGTATACTGACATGTATCCATCATGACTGTATCATACAGAAGAGTTTCACTGCCCTAAGAATCACCTGTGCTCCATTCATCGCTACCGCCCTCCAAGTCACTACAACCAGTGATCTTCCAAAGCTCTTATGCTTTGTCTTTCAGAAGTCCATATAGTTGAAATCATAGAATATGTAACCTTTTCAGATTGGCTTTTTTCACCCAGCAGGAAGTAATAAATGTTTTATGCCAAGATACCGAGTCTAGATGGGGAGTCTAGAGAATCGCAGAACCATGGCACCCCATCCCCATCCCCATCCTGACTCCCACTCAAAAGGCACCTCTTTTTAAAAAAATCCTCATCTGAGGATAATTTTCCATTGATTTTTAGAGAGTGGGAGGGAGGGAGAGAGAGAGAGAGAGACATTGATTGGTTGCCTCCTATACTGACCAGGGCTAGGAATTGAACCTGTAACTGAGGTACATGCCCTTGACTGGGAATTGAACAAGTGACCCTTTGGTCTATGAGTGGATTCTCTAACCATTAGGCAGGATGGGCCAGGGTGGCTCCTCTTTTTAAAAATAAATACGTTTTTATTGATTTCGGCGAGGAAGGGCGAGGGAGAGAGATAGAAACATCAATGATGGGGATCGAGCCTGCAACCCGGGCCTGTGGCCTGACAGGGGTTGGTGCTCAACCACTGAGCCACACCAGCTGCGCTCAAAAGGCATCTCTCCATGAAGGACGGCTCTTGGGTGCATTAGAGAAGCAGACCAGCCTGGATTGTTCTCCCTGGGAACCCCCACTGGGCTCCATCCACACTGGTGGGACCGTTCTATCAACACATGATGGCGTAGGGTCTGGGGGACTGTCCCAGGCACTTCCCTTCCTTTGGGAGGTTGTTACCAGGGGAGTGTGGGCTGTGGACACTGGCTGCCATGCCCTATGGCGCCACTGGTGTGGGGATGGCTGGAGTGCCTGGAGCCCACCAAGGTAGCTTTGGCGCTCTCCTCCCTGGTTGGGGGCACAAGGAGGGCTCACACACTCGTGACCAGTGGGGCTTGCTTGAGTTTACGAAGTGACTGTGCTATTTATCTTCAGGGTCAAGGATCCAAGTATGTGTCCCCTTTCTTCTGTGTCCTTCCCACATGTATACACCCAGCTTCATTGGGAGCCCTTGGAGCGCAGGGCCGGCGCCCAGGCTCAGGACCCAGGGCTGGGACTCTGGGCTTGGAGGGTAGCAGGTGAGGGGCCCAGCCCGGCAGGCCTCTGAGGACAGCTTCAGGGCTCTTGCCAGTCCTTTCTGCTTCTGCTGTTTAAAAGCACTCGAGTCCGGCTGGTGTGGCTCAGTGGTTGAGTGTTGACTTAGGAACCAGGTGGTCACGGTTCAATTTCTAGTCAGGGCATGTGCCCGGGGGCAGGCTCGATCCCCAGTGTGGGGTGTACAGGAAGAAGCCAATCAATGATTCTCTCTCATCCTTGATGTTTCTCTCTCTCCCTCTCCCTTCCTCTCTGAAATCAATAAATATTTTTTAAAAATCACCTTGCCTCTGTCATGCCCTTCTTCCCTGAAACCGGGCACAGGCACCCCTGACCCTCCATGCCCAGGCCTTGCCTGTGCTGTGTTGACAGGGCCCTGCCCTTGGCCAACACTGACTTGATTTTAATGGAACTAAGAGAAGGATGTTTCACTTTGGGATTCCCTGTCATCTCAGCCCTGGCGAGATCACAAGCTCTGACAGAAGCTTCCATTTCTTTGCATCTCCTCAGGGTCAGCTCCAGGGAGGCAGCTGTCCCATGCACTTGACCGGAGGCCTGCTCTCAGCTCTCAGAAGGCAGAACCCCTGCTCTGGACAGGAGGGCTCTCCAACTACGCCTGTTCCAATGTATCCCCTTCCCACACCCAGCCCAGGGCAGGTCAGAGCCAAGGGGATGGTTGGGTAAAGCTCCCTAAGGAATCAATGAGCATCCCCACATGCTAATGATAGCTACCATGCTGACCCAGGAGAGCATGGCCCAGAAAGCTCTGGGTGGCAGGGGCTAACACAGTCTCTATGGGGGATTTTGTGGGTCTAGGTTTCCTTTTCTTTCTTTTTTTAAAATATATTTTTATTGATTTCAGAGAGGAAGCAAGAGGGCGAGAAAGATAGAAACACCAATGATGAGAGAGAATCACTGATTGGCTGCTTCCTGCACGCCCCCTATTGGGGGTCGAATCTGCAACCTGGCCACGTGTCCTTGACCGGAATCAAACCTGGGACCCTTCAGTTCACAGGCTGATGCTCTATTCACTGAGTCAAACCAGACAGGGCTAGGTTTCCTTTTCATATGATGGGATACCAGGTGAGTGGCTTTCTCTCTATGGGACTCAGTTTCCCACTTTTTTTAAAAAAAAGTGTTTTATTGATTTCAGAGAGGAAGGGAGTGGAAGAGAGAGAGAGAAACATTAGTGATGAGAGAGAATCATTGATTGGCTGCCTCCTGCATGCCCCCTCTTGGAGATCGAGCCCACAACCTGGGCATGTGCCCTGACTGGGAATTGAACTGAGACCTCCCGATTCATAGGTCGACGCTCAATCACTGAGCCACACCAGCTGGGCGAAGTTTCCCGATTTATAAGTTGATCAGGTTGGACCAAATCATCTCTGACTGTGATTGCTATTTTGAAATCCTTTGACCAAAAAAAAGGGGGGAGGGGGAGAAAAGCAAGAAGAATAAGAATAAGAGGAGGATAAGGAGGAGGAGGAGGAGGAGGAGGAAGAGAGAGGAGGAAGAGGAGGAGGAGGAGGAAGAGGAGGAGGAGGTCCCTTGATCTGTTTGTGTGCCATCACACTGCCCTGGGGACTTGCTGGCTTTGGGAGCCCTTGGAGGACTGGGTTGGCGTCCAGGCTCCGAACCCAGGGCTGGCCTCTGGGCTTGTCATCTCAGTGTGTGTCACTCTGTGTGTTTTCCTGATGTGGCCGGGGCTGGAAGCTCCGCTTTCCGCATGTGTTGTCATTGGAATAGTGATGAAGGGAAGGTATTGGGATGTAGGTGACACTGCCTGGGAATATGTGACATGCCAGCCGTTTTATAAGGACACTCGGACACAGGATATAAATGTGGTTTTTGTTGTTGTTGTTGTTCATTTGGGCTTCCTATTACCGTAAAAAATAATGGGGATTAAAGATATATAATGTCCCCTCTCCTTTATTTTAGTGTCAAAAAGATCAGCAATGAACCCAGCCGGTGTGGCTCAGTGGTTGAGCGTTGACCTATGAACCAGGAAGTCACGGTTCAATTCCCATTCAGGGTACATGCCCGGGGTTTCGGACTTCATCCCCAGTAGGGGGTGTGCAGGGGGCAGCCGATCAATGATTCTCTCTCATCATTGATGTTTCTCTCTCTCTTCCTTCCTGTCTGAAATCAATGAAAATAATTTAAATAAGGTCAGCAGTGAGAGATCGAGAAGATTGTCTAGGACCGGAAGCTCCCAGGAGCTTTTCAGTCCAGAGCACATCTTCATGACTGTAAAGTGATAAATGGCTGAGCCTTACTCGGCATGTCAACCTGGTAGAAGGAAGGGGGCAGCCAGGTCCTATGAGGGACTTGGCCCATCTCTTCCTTTCCAATTGTGATGGAGTGAATGGTGTCCCCCAGAAGAGGTGTCCACATCCTAACCCCTAGGGATGGGACCTTATTTGGAAATCGGGTCTTTGCAGGTGTTGCCAAGGTGATATGAGATCCTACAGGAGTGGGGGTGGGGGACTAGTGCAACATGACTGGTGTCCTTAGAAGAAGAGAGGAGACACATAGAGAGGGAGAAGGCCATGGAAAGACACAGATGCACAGGGAGAAGGTCATGTGACAATGGAGGCAGAGACAAGTGATGTGGCCATGAGCCAAGAACTGCCGGCCACCAGCAGAAGCTGGGAGAGACAAGGCAGGTCTCATCCCTCCAGCCTTGGAGTAAGCACGGCCCTGCCCACTCCCTGATTTCAGACTTCTGGCCTCCAGAATTATGACAGGATAAATGTTTGTTGTTTGAAGCCCCCCAGTTTGTGGAACTTTGGTACAGGCCCCAGGAAACTCCTCCACGGGCCTCCCCCAGGCTACCAGGACACACCCTTGCTCCCAGGGCATCATTGGGTGGTGAAGACGGTGTCAGCTTTGTGGAGGGATGGGTGTTGTAGTGTTTCCTTGCCCCAGGCCATTTGGTTAAGTACCATTTCCCCCCAATGTCATATTTGATAGTGTGAATCCATGGAAAAGAATCCACAGACACAAATGGATGATTCTTTTAGGGGGAAGCAAAATATCTCTCCATCAGGTGCTATCTTGCTATGGCGTTTGGCTCAATCGAGACTTACTTAGCTTCATGGTTCAAGGTGGACTCACACATCAATGAAGAAGCAAGGGCTCTTTGTTATTTGTTTGCTGTTCCTACCTATTCGTCTTTTTGAGAAATATAGATTCTGGTGGTTGAGAGGGAACGGAGAAGCTATTTTTCTCCTTTCCTGGCACCTTCCCTGGAAAATGCATCCTCTGGCACTGCCAATTCTAAAAGGGTGACGTGCGGAGTGGAGAAATAGGGATATGAGGAAATGAAATGACAGTCTTGATGCTGTCACCACAGTGGTCATTTGCAAGTCTCAGATCAGAGCTGACCACAGATGTCCCATCGCACAGGTGTTCAAAGACACCTGGTGAGTGCAGGAATGAATGGGGGAATGACCATGGAGCAAGTGAATGAGTGAAATAATGGTTTTTCTTGCCATGTCTTTGGGTTAAAGAGGAAGTCTGATTGGAAGCCTTGGGTACTACTTGGGGGAGGGGGGTATAAAATAGTGCAGGTGCTGTGGTAAACAGTTTGGCAGTTCTTCAAAAAATTAAACATAGCGTTATTGTATAATCCAGAAATTCCAACTCTGAGTATCTGCCCAAACGGGTTGAAAGCAGGAACTCAAACACATATTTGTGCACCAGTGTTCACAGCAGCATCACTCACAGTAGCCAAAAGGTGGAAGCAACCCAAGTGGCCATTGATGGATACATGGATGGACAAAACAGGGGCTATCCATGCCATGGAATGTCATTCAGTCTTGAAAAGGAAGGAAATTCTACCCTAGCTGGTTTGCCTCTGTGGATAGAGCATTGGCTCATGGACTGAAGGGTCCTGGGTTGGTTCCAGTCAAGGGCATGTACCTCGGTTGCAGGCTCTTCCGAAGCCTGAGTCCTGGTAGGGGCTCATTCCGGAGGCAACCAATCAATGTGTCTCTCTCACATTGATGTTTCCATCTTTCCCCCTCGCTTCTGCTCTCTCTAAAAATCAATGGAAAAAATATCCTCAGGTGAGGATTAACAAAAAAGAAAAAAAAAAAAGAAAAAAAGAAGAGGGAGTCTACCCGTGTGTCAAGGTCCTGGCATTGGGCTTGATTTGCTGGCGTTGAATTGTTGTGATCATCTCTGGTCCCCCACCTTCCTCTGAGGACACACCAGGGAGGACATTCAGGCCAGGCCTTTCCAGGTCAAGGCAGTTAGAAGACTGCGATGCAAACCTCTGCCAGGAGCGCATCTGGCCCCCCAGGGCGGGTGAACCCCTTCCATCCGATCAGACTGGTGGCCATACACTCAGGGGAACCCCGCCACTCCCGGGGCTTGGCCCAGCGGGCGAAGCAGATGAACACACCTTTCTTTCGTTCCAGATGAGAATTCACCGAATAAATCACACGCGTTACCCAGACCAGGATTGTAGAAGCCTTTCATTTTTTTTTTTATACACAGAAATTTTGGTCTATTCTTTAATTAGGAAATTCAACTACAGACTTTAAATTAGTATGCATCTGTGGTCTTCCTCGTTAAGATATTTTTTTTGTTCATCTTTATAACAGGCAGATAAAAATGTAAAACATAGTTAATAACTGAACACGGTTGACCAAGCCATTCCATATAATATAATGTTTTATAGAGAGGGGCTCCCTGGTGACACAGGTCCCTCGGTCTGAAGACGACAGAAGCCAGAGCAATGAGCCGAGGTCACAGCCCCCCTGTTTCTGAACCACACACCCCACGGAAAGGCAACCTAGGACTAAACAGTCGACATGTACAGTAGGCAACTTTGTACAGCAGCAGCAAGGGTGCTTTAAATATATATGGACCGTCAGTTCTACCAGTGTGTCTACAACAGAATGAAAAGAAGCCCATGGGTGGAGCGTGATGGAGCTCATCTTCTTCAATTGAAACGTTTCCAACTTGACTTCTTTTAAGAACACAGACCCTCACCGAATTGAGTTGCCCTTTTTGTGGTGGTCGAAACAAGGACATAGGGGACAATGTACACATGGGTGACATTCTCGATGTGCCCTTTGGAAGAAAGGGATGGCTTTAAGTTATCTGGAGCTGGCATTTGAAGTGGGATTTTCTTTTTTAACCGAAATTCCTTTGCCCGAGGTTTGACTACTCCTGCTCAGGGGTGACGTGGCATCCATGCTAACGGTGCAGCCCGAGCGTGTTTTGGCCGCCAGCGCGGATGCTCACGACGCAGGTGGAGGTAAGATGAGACCCAGCCGGTGGGGAGCGCGTGGGGGGGGGGCGTGATGGGCGGACCAGCCTTGCCACCATTCCAGCTGCTGCTCAACTGCTGAGCGTGCCCATCTGCACCTGCAGTTTCCATTCTGACCCTCTGTCCCTCAGTCCCCAGCCGCCCCCCAGTGGCTCAGTCCCAGGCCCCAGTGACAGGCACACGGAGGAGCCGTGGTTGGACCCTGTCTCCCTGGGAAACGTGAGACAGGTGAATTCCGATGTTAAAAGGATCTCTGCTTTCTCTGTATCTCCCTCCCTGGCTAGGGTGCATTCGGGGAAACTGAGGCTTGGCACACTGGGTGCCCACACTGCAAGGAGAGGCTCCCGAGGGAACCATCTGGGGAGCCCAGGCCCAGCTCTCCGCACCTGCAGATAGGTGTTCGGCCCACGTGGTGAAGCTGACCTCCTCAGCCTTCCAGACTCACGAGAAAGCGCCACAGGTGGGATTAGAGCAACTGCCACGGGGGGCCATGGCTCCTGGGGGCTTTGCCTCGGCATCTGGTTCCCTGATGTCGCTGTCGGTGGCTGCAGACACAAATCCATGCTGTCATGGGTCAGAGTTGTTGAATGAGAAGACTGGGGTCGGAAGAGCGCTAGGTGGGTTGTGACTGAGAACTTTCCGAGCAGCGTTATGGGTGCCTCGGCAACAACTACTTGGCATTTGCCAAAAAAGAATGGGAGTCCGGTGGGAGGTGCGAGAGGGCTGGGTCCGTATCGCAGCCACGTCAGCTCCTCTTGGGTTTTGATGGTACCTCTTCCTCCACTGGTTTCTGTCTGATTCTTGTCTCTCCTCCCCCCATTCCGGGTCCCCACATGGGGTCAGAGGCAGCAGGGGGCAGAGCTCTTGAACTTGGATTGTAGACAGAGAAAGCTCAGCAGCCAGAATTCAGCACTTGGAATTGGAGTTGAAACCAAAGGAAAGTGAAAGCAAAATGCCCCCTTCTACCTTCTGGGAGGGATCATCCTCATCAATACTTTGGTATTTTCCTTTTAAATAAAAATTCCATCAAAAGGGTCTATTTTTTCCTCTATAGGCAAGGGTCTCAAAGTGCAAATGTTCCAACGGTAACCGCTTGCGTCTTAACCTCACCCTTCCCCTGACCTTCTGCTGGGAATCGCGATGGTGATACTGCCCAGGATGGCGCCAGGAGGAGGGGGGAGACAGGGGAGGAGGCTGGGAGCCCGGGGCAGGGCAAGCGACCAAAAAGCGATTCTTGCAGTCTAGTTCCCTGAACAAATCAACCTGCCACAATAAATAATGAAATTTCAAAAGAAGAACATCTGATAAGAGCAATGGAAAGATCATGCCGATAAATAGTTCCTTATTCTTTAAATATGCACGTATAGGCCTATACGCACACGCACACACACAGACTGCATGTGTCCCGGGGATGGGGTGCTTGGCGGTTCGCATACGTTTGCAGGCGGCTCTCTCGGGCGGGCTGTCTGGTGACGGGCATCCTTCCCAACCTTGCAAAGCAGTGCTCGCCTGCTTTCCTTTTGCATTGAATCTGTTGCTCCAATGGCTCTCCAGTGGGTGCAACGAAGTTGCCGAGAAACCAAAACCAACCCCGTGCCCCCACCGCACAGCCCAATGACAGAAATCTGGTGGCACTGTAGTGTTCATTAAAAAAAAGCTTCGATAGAAAAAAGTGGGGAACACGGCTCTTCTTGTTCTCTAGTTTTTCCTTCCTCCTCCTCCTCCTCCTCCCCCTCCTCTTCCTCCTCCTCCTCCTCCCCCTTCTTTAAGGCTATAGCTCAAATGTCACTTCTCTGTCACATCTTCCCAAACCACTCAGGTAACTCCTCCTCCTCCTCCTCTTCCTCCTGCATCTCCTTGGTCCCAGGTAAGAAGCCTTGAATGGTTTGGCTTCTTGCAAGTGCTGTGCGAGCGAGCAACATGTCCAGCCGCCGTGGCTGTGCCCTCCTGCAGGCCTGTGTGTCCCGCCTGGGTGCCCGTGTGTGCGGGGGGGTGCGCGTGCGGACAGCAGTTATGCTTAGAGGGACGTCTCCACGCTGTGGAGCGGGCTCCCGGGTCTGGAAGAAAACACTGACGAGGTAGCTGACTTGGTGCCATGCGTGGTCAGGTAGATGCCGCTGTCTATGGCGTTGTTGTTCTGGTTGGGGGAGGGGGGTGGGGGGGCCCGCAGGCGCTCCTCGTTCTCATCCACGTCCGTGTCATCTATGAGCGGGATGTTGTGGGTGTAGTCATTGATCAGGAATTCGGGCGTTGCCATGAAGTTATGGATGGAAGTCTTGGATTCCGGTTTCTCCAGGCCTTCGTAGAGCGAGCTACGGAATGCTTTCACCACTCGGATCTGGAGCGGAGGTGGAGGGACAGGGGCCCCGAGGGGTGGGGGGAGGGGATAGTGGAGGGAGGGAGGGAGCAGGAGGGAGGGGAGGAGAGAAGAGAAAGAAAGGAGACAATCAATGGCAGGCCAGGTGCTGGCAAGTTCCACCCACATCCATGGCAGGGGGTCACCGTGTGACAAATGCTCATCCATTGGAATGGACCGGTTGGGGTGGCTCTTGCCTGGCTGTGGTGAGGGTTTCAGTTTGGGTCTCGGTCTTGTCAACTGACCCACATGCAGGACGAGTGGCGGTGGCTTGCCCTAGGCTGACCCGGGCAGATATTCTGGAAGCCCTGAGTGACAGAAGCACCGGGTTCTCGGCTGCTACCTCCCCTTGCCCTGTGCTGGGGCTCGACTGGCTTAGGTGGCCCCTGGGGTCTCAGCCAGATCGGAATTCCAATTTGGTGGAACAGGAAGATGATGCGAAAAAGGGAGAACGCTGGAGAGGGCTCCACGCCTTCTCTTATCAGAAAGTCTATGGGTGCATTGCCAACCTTTCTTGAGTGGGTCTCCCTGCCTGGCTTCTCTAGGGATCTCTTCGCTTCCCTCCCAGCTCTCCTCGCCATAGCCGGCACCCGCCATGCCCACACCATTCAGCCATCAGCATCCCTGCTAAGCTCAGCAGCATTTCTGTGTCTCCATCTTTTTTGATCCCTCAGGGACGCTCGACACAGCCAACTGCTCCTCTTTCTGGAAACTTCTGGCTTCCCAGACATTGCCCATGCTTGGACCCTTCCTACCTCGCTGGCTACTCTGGCCCCATCTCCTCCACTGCTCCTTCTTCTGGCCTGGCCCTGGCCCTCCTCTCTGTCCACACCCCCAGGTCCACCTCCTAGCTCTGGACATGGCTCTGGGACTCGCCTGACTATAGTCAGGGCCTGTGGCCTGGCCCTTCCTCAGAGCTCCACAATGCCCTGCTCCCAGAGCTTTCCAACCCCCCATCTGGAAGCATCCAAGACTGAACATGGCTCCACTTTTGAGTGGCACCCACTAAGCCTGTCCCGTCCAGATGCTCTGATCCACGCTGGCAGTTCCTGTGTCTCTTTACAGCTTCTGGCCTGCAGTTCGGTGCATCTGACTGGCTCATCTTTTCCTTAGCAGACCCTTCCATCCACTCCGACTTTTCTACGCCTCCTTCCCTGGCCACCCCGCTAGCATCTGCAGACCTCAGGTCAACAAAACTCCCCACAGGGAAGAGCTTCCCACAATGCCCTGCTCCCCCGCCCTGGCAGCCCTCTGACCCTGCACCTCCCGCGAGAGGTCCTGCTCCCAGAATTAGCCACTGGGTCTCTCTGACCCCTCCCTTCACTGGTGCTCCACCTTCGCTTACACGAGGGCTCAAGTCTCATCGGGCTTCCAAGCCACAGAGTTGCTGCCTCTCTTTGCTCGCTTCCTGGCCCCCAGCTTGGGCCCAAGCTGGCTGGCCTTGTGCTGGGATGGGGAAGCCAGCCCCTCCCTATGTGAGTGGGTGAGCACCATGTGAGTCCCAAAGTCATTCCAGCCCCAAGGTTCTAGGATTTGATTTTGTTGGTTTAGATAAGGTGTTGGCGAACTGTGGCCCAAGGGCTAACTCTGGCCCTCGGCCTGATTTTGTAAATAAAGTTTTATTGGTACACAGCCGCGCTCTTCATGTATGCATTGTCTATGGCTGCCTTCGAGATCCAAGGGCATTGTGTAGGTGGGACAGAGACTTGGCCTGCCAAGCCCTTTTTAAGGAGAAGTTTGCTGCCCCCTCATTTAGACCATGAATCACAATGTTGACAATGAGTCCCTTTCAACCCTCAGCATCTGCCCCGGGCGCTCCTAGATCACATTAAACCAGGCAAACCTCACAGCCTTTCAAGTGCAAAGCACTGAGCCAAAGAGATGCATAAAATGGGCATTTTCTACCTCCATATACAAAATCAGGTTAGGATTTTCTCTGAATTTGGTGAAGCCACATCTTCCAGATTGCAGATGGCCAACTATTTGCACCTCGTTCCTTAATTCCCCCCAGATTGGCTTGGGAGATCCGGGTCACACAGAAATCGAGAATTGCTTGCCAGGTTTAATAAAAAGAAACCGAATGTCCTTTTTTTGTAGCCATTGTAGATAGACTTCACTATTTAGGCCTTTTCTGCTGCAGAATTCAAGGGGAGCCACCATGACATCTGTGGTGGCTGCGTGCTGGTGTGGGATATCCATTTCAGCGGTGGGCCACACCCCCGAAGTCACAGAAATGAGAACAAGTTGCTGTCTGTCAATGTTGCCCTTGACGCTGGGGGGCCCTTTCGAGGTGGTTTTGCCAGCCAGGATCCCGTGACTCTGGCTACACCCTTTCCTCATGCTGAGCCCATCCCTTCACTAGGAGCTGGGTCACGTGATCAGGCCAGGGCCCGCTCAGACCCTCCTCTGGTCTCCGTGCGCCTGGTTGAACTCCCAAGTCTTTGCCCAAGAAGGGTAGTCAGCCCTCCACTCCCAGCTTCTGCTGCTCTAAACCGGAAATTTCCTCCAGGGTGGAATTGAAGACTAACTTTGATGCCTGTCTTGTCCCTGGCTTTGGGGGAGGGATTGGGCCTGCCTGTTGCCAAAACCTGGCACCTAGCAGCCGCTCAGTCACCAACAGGGGGCTCCAGGGCCTTCTGCTCAAACATTCCGCTGCTGGGGGCTTTCAGCTGATCTGCAGGTTCCACTCCCCTGCATGCAAATCTCGGGCTATTAACAAAGGGGTTGGCATTTGTCTTATGATGGGGAAGGGGTGGGGGGTTCAGGCCACTCAGCGCTGAAGGGCATAGTCAATTCCCGAGTCACTGGCTCGGTGAGAAGTGGCAAACATTTCTAAGAGATGCTCACCCTGGAGGCCCAAGCTTGCACACGGGTGCCAGGGATGTCCTCACAGCGAGTGGGACCAGTACCCTTCCCCAGCACGTGGCCCTGCCTCCTCAGGTTCCTCTCCTGGCCTGGGATGGTCCCAGGGTGGGGTCCTCAGGCCACCCCTCCATCTCTACCACTCTTACAGGGACCTCACACCCTCAAGGCTATCTGTCAATGCCGCCTACAGCCCACAGGCCGCCTTGATGCCAAGCACACCCTGTACTGCCACCACCAGTGTCCGCAGCCGGGGTCCGCCCCTTCCCAGTGTGCTAGACGTATGTGCCTGCTGCCCCTCACCTCTCCTTGGATGGCCAATGGCCATTGAAGAAGGCTGCGGAGCGCCCTCAGCCTGGCCCTGCCCACCCTGGCCCTCGCCTAGCCTTCCCATCCCAGTGCAGGGCTCCAGCCGGGCCTCAGCTGGACACCTGAGCCCAGCGCCCCATCAGTGTGTCCCATAGGCCCTGGTTCCCAACCTCTTTGTGGTAGAACCTCCCACTGCCGCTGCCAGGCCTGCCAGGCCCTGGAGGCCCCTTGGGCTCCACCAGCCCTGAGGGCAGAGATTCCACCTGCCTGGACCCTCTGGGTGGCAGCCATCCCTGGGGGCCCTCCTCTCTGACTACTGAGTCAGGCCCTGCCCTCCCCCACCTGGCCCGTGGGGACTTCAAGCACCCCAGCAGGAGAATTTTAAAGAAAAAGGAGCCCGGATGGTGTGGCTCAGTGGTTAAGCATCGACCTATGAACCAGGAGGTCACGGTTCGATTCCCGGTCAGGGCACATGCCTGGGTTGTGGGCTTGATCCCCAGTGGGGGGC